CGAGCTGAGAGTCCCTAGTGAACCACAAAATAGATCATATCTTGTATTATACCTAATTTATATAAGATTCTTAACAAGCTAGGTAGTTGGACTTAATTCAATAAGCAATAAAGAACCAATGAAAGTTTATGAGCAAGAGAATAATATGACCAGAAGAGCATGACAGAAAGTTTTCAAATGAAATCAATTTGCCTTCTCATATTAAAAAAAAGATAAACTAACAATACTGAGAAAGCTGGGGGAAAACGACAGGAAATTTAAGGTTATGTTTAATTTAATCAATGCTGATTATTGGGGAACTTATGTACCAAAAAGTATATAGTAGTAATAATTTAGAAACTGTTAAAATTAAAAATCAAGAATGTAGGGAAAGCAGGAAATTCAAACTCCAAAAATAAAAGTTGAATATATATACACTTCCACATGCTTTGCATTATTCTCCACTTTGCTGCATCCCAATCTCAAAGGCAGTGACAGCACCACAGTTTTAATCTGTGAGAATCTGTAGTGATGGGTAGAAGGACAGGGTGAAGAGGTTAGTAACTATACAGTTTTCAGTCTACAAAAATTAGCATCATTGGTATTAGAGTTACAGTAGAAAAAGAATCAAGAGCAAGCACAAGACAATAGGTTCAATGACACTATTACTGAAGCCAAGCCCATGGTCCCTGCCTTCATAGAGTGAAAAAAAATTGACAAAGGACATAGACTATATTCAGCAAGTGAAAAAATGGGCAAATGGAGAAAAAACAGATGTTCATAAACTTTTTGAAAATATAATATATAAATCTAAATAGATTTTTTTGAGTTTTACTTTCTGTACTCATAAAATAGAGACACCACCCAATAGGGTTCTTGTGAAGACTCAGGAAGAATGCACATATGCATTTAGCATAGTGTCTGGCTCATAATTTGAATTAAAATGTTACCTCCCTTGTCTTCCATAAACATTCTTTCATTAGCATCAGTCATACACAGTACAAGAGCATCAGAACTTTACTTGAGAGTGATACACATTTTTGTTTGTTTTGTTTTGTTTTGTTTTGAGACAGAGTCTCACTCTTTTTGCCCAGGCTAGAGTGAGTGCCGTGGCGTCAGCCTAGCTCACAGCAACCTCACACTCCTGGGCTCAGGCAATCCTTCTGCCTCAGCCTCCCGAGTAGCTGGGACTACAGGCATGCGCCACTATGCCCGGCTAATTTTTTCTATATATTTTTAGTTGTTCGATGAATTTCTTTCTATTTTTAGTAGAGACGGGGTCTCGCTCTTGCTCAGGCTGGTCTCCAACTCCTGAGCTCAAACAATCCACCCGCCTCGGCCTCCCAAAGAGCCAGGATTACAGGCGTGAGCCACCGCGCCCGGCCTGATACACATTTTTAAGACTACATCAGGTCCAAAAGCACAGGCTTTGTACACTAGGTATTATTTTATGAAAATAAATGAATAGGACTCAAGCAAGAGGACATAAAGTACTCAGGGGGTTTGAAGTGAGTTTTAAAGAAAGGGCAAGATTTGACAAATGTCATTATATAAAGAAAGATATTACGAAAAGGAGAAAATGCACGAGGAAACTTACTAAATAGCGATGATCATTTGAGAAAAAGTTATTTGAGCAATGTTATTTTAGAAAAACCAAAAATGGTCTGGCCATATCGTATATTGAGAAGCAGTTGGGAGGTAAGTATGAAAAGCAGGCTGGATGTAAACTCTGAAGAGAATCCAATGTCACATATAAGCAGCTTTCACCCATCACAGTGTTTCACAAAATATTTTGGCTTTGGGATTCCTTTGTACTCTTTGAAATTATTGAGATCCCAAAGAACTTTTGTTTTTGTTGAATTAAATCTACCAACATTTCTTTAATTATAAATTGAAACTGAGAAATTTTTACAAGAATACAAAGTACTTATTCCATTAATTGTTAGTGATGACATCACCACACAGCCTCTGGAAAAATCTACTGTATACTTGTGAGAGAATGAGAGTGAAAGAAAACAGCATCATAATATTATTATGAAAATCAGTTTTAACCTGTAGGACCCCTTGAGAGAATCCCAGGAAATCCTTGGTATCCCCAAACACATTTTGTAGCAATAGGAATGACCAAAAAAAGAGTCTGTTAACGGTGTGCTAAATGACTCAAGCAGAATGATACAAAGGAAGAGCCCTCGATTTGGAGCAACAGTGAGACAAGGTGGTCAAAGCCAAACTTACTATTCACAGAAAATCGTTTATGGTTAGACTTACAAGCAATAAAAGAGGAATAAACTGTCTTAAGCATTTCTTCATCTTTCCTAAAATTCTGTGTACCTACCAGTATCCAAAACTCATTCCTTTGGGTAAGATACATCATAGGTATGTATAGTCTCAGATACTTTAGAATGGTTCTGATTTTGGAAAATTTTACTTTGAATAAAGAGAATTTGTTGTGTCAATTTTTGACTTAACGTGTATGCCCCTACAAGGCATTATAAAAGTAAAAAGCACGCTAAAAAATTATCTATCAGTCTGCTATGTGGTTTTGAGATAATAATCTCTGTAATTACATATTTTGCTAGCCTTGAGAGCTAGCCTTGAAACCTATCAATATATAACACTACTTCTACAAAACCACGAACCTATAATCTAATGAGTCCTTAAATTTGGAAACTGTGCATAACATTGTACTGTGGTATTCCAATCTATAAAACTTCCTTTATTGTACATACTTAAAATTTTGAACATAATTCAGTTCATTGTGTTAAGTATACAAGTTATTAACATATGAAAAGAATCAAAATTTGATAAAGAGACTATATATAAATATAATTGTTACTCTTGTTTATCAAGTGACAATTCTCTAGAGTCTTTAACAAAATCAAATTTAGAATGTTTCAAGGAAAAGGTTGGATGGTATCTAATCACTCAGATTTCACAGAGAGTAACAGAAATTTATTCATATATCAAACACTTCAGAATGTCCTTCTAATTAAAAAGGTACTTTAAGAAATTATTAAAAAGTATCTAGACAGAGGTTGCTTAAAATAATGAAAGCAAAGAGTATTTTGCATTTAATATATTGAATATAATTATTGATTTTTGAGAAAAATAAATTTGGAAAAAGTTTCTATAAAAATGATAAAAAAATGCATGAGCATGTAATAACTTTTAAAAGAGCAGTTACATATTTTTACAATATACTCCCTGGCTTCACTGCTAGTAAAAGAGAAGAAAAGTTTTTTAAAAAACTTATAAATTCAGTAATAAACATATCAGGGAATCAAATTCTAGTAAAGCAGAGGACCAAAGTGGTGGTATGAGTCTCTGCAGATAACCATAAAATACTGGGTACAATTAAAAAATTTTTATTTAAGATACAGGAAAGCATCCCGAAGCACAAAGAAACCAGAGGAGAGTTTAATATCTAACTGTAACTTGGAGAGGTAAGAATTCCCAGTTTGCAGAGTGTTGACCCAAGGATATGATCTAACAACCATGACTATGGCTACACAAAAAGGGGAGGGAAAAACCACAGCCCCATTGACAAGAGGTGCCCAAAATCAGAGTTCAGAGATGGGATTCAGAGCTAAGAAAGCAGCTTGAAATTTAAACTGAAAAAACCAGCAACATGAGAACCTCCCAAATGCTGGGTTGAAAACTAAACAATACATTTATCGGAGAGAACCCAGGGGTAACAAGCAAAAAAGCAGGCAGAGATCAGAATGAATTCTACTCTGAAAAAGTAGCTATACAGAACCAAATATGTGAGTTTGATGTTTTTTTTCATTAGTGAGTGGATTTCCCAACCATGCACAGCTCTAGCGGATGAAAGCAGTAAGCAGAAAGGCTAAAAGTGTCAGAGTACAGATTCCCAAGTCAGCAGTACAAGAGGGAAATTCGAGTGTAATCCTTAGAAAAAGTGATCTCCAATCTCTGCCCAAATCCTTGATGAAACATCAAATTACAAATTACACACGCACAGGGAAGACATAGGAGGGCCTAGCTAAAAAGGCAGCACTGGGAAGCAGTAAGAACAGTCATCAGTAAACACATAACATAGGGAAGACAAAGTTTGAAATTCAACATCAAGCAACTAAGCGCTTATTAAAACAAAAATAACAGACATTGGAGACTCGAAAGGGAAGAGGGTAGAAGGGGGACGAGGGATAAAAAAATTACCTATTAGTTACAACGTACACTATTTGGGTGATGGGTACACTAAAAGCCCAGACTTCACCACTACACAATATATCCATGTATTAATAACAAAATTCCACTTGTACCCCATAAATCTACTGAAATAAAAACAAGGACAAAGTAAATAATTTTCAGAAGAATAAAATAGAATCCAGAGTTTCTAAAACTTACTATTTTCAACCAAATTTACATGCAATAGGGTGGTGTGACCCATTTGCAGAAAAGAAGGCAGTCAATAAACCTGACTCTGAGGAGACCACATGTTGGATTTACCAACAACTTTAAAGTAGCTATTATAAATATGGTAAGGGCACTCTTTTAACAAGGGAAAGAAAATGTCACTAACGAATGGATGGGGAATATGCACCATAAAAAAACAGAAATTATAGAGTTAAAAATAAAGTAGCCAAATGAAATAATAATCAGGCAGAAAAGTAGATTAAAAACGGCAACGAATACTAGTAGGATCATTTTAAGATCTATATATTTCCCTCCTCTTAAAATTTAACTCTGGTCTTATCCATATCCTTATTCCCTACTGTTTTAAAAGAACAGCATTACTGTCAATTGACTTGGAACCTAATAATATTCAACCTACAGTAAGAATCACATAAGTTAGAAAGGATATTACAGAACAAAGCACCAGTAAAACCTCTTTTGTAATACAGAGGCAAAATGTTGTTACAAACAAAAGAAGTTCATTACGTTATACATTATGTTTGTATAATGTATTATAATTACTTAAAATAGAGTTGTTTAATAATTTTCACAATTACCTAAAAAAAAGAATGGCATTACACAAAAAATCTAGGTAAACAACATACCTGTGTTCGTAAAATTTCACTCTTTGACAACTGCATATCACCAGTCAATTCTTTCACAACGATGCCCAGTGGCTCTAGACGTTTGCTGAAGTAATTTGTCATTTCAGCTGCCAAGGCTTTCATTGGAGCAACATATACAATCTGTACCAAAGGAACACTAGCTTGATAAATGAGCAAAACCAACGTCATTTGTTTCACAGTAGCCAATACAAGTCACAATTTATTGTGAAATACAATTTTAGCTACTTCCAGTGAAAAATCTTAATAGTGACATATTAATATGAAAAGTTCTTATCTTTGTTTGATAAATGTGCTGTTGTTTAAAGGACAATGGAATTTGTTTGTTTACACAGCCTCATCACTTGGAAAATTGGTTCTGTTTCAGAGCTAAACGTATTTGTGTTGCTTTTTACAAGGGTAATAGGATATTCATAACACAAATAGAGACTGCCTTAATAGTAATTAAGTAAATCAAGCAGTATTCTTTACCTGATTTCAAGTACAACAACCTTAAGAACTTCCAGATTTGAAATAACATTTACAACTGCAAACTGATTTTGATTTTTACAACTTAAAAAGCTGCTGTCTGGTTTATTATTTTCCTACCTTAAATTCATTCTTTTTGATAACACCTTGTTGAAAATGTTGGCGAATTTCATGCAAGACTGTAAGCATTGCAATGTTGGTCTTTCCAGCTCCAGTAGGGGCACAAATCAGCATATTCTCATTGGTGTTGTAGGCAGTCTCAAACACTATTGACTGGATTCTATTGAGTCTCTTCATCCCTTTAAAAGCCAGCTGTCCAATCTAGAAAAGGCATGACCCATTAAAAATGGTAATAATGTGAAGGACCCATACAAAACATTAGAAGCAAACATTTATTTCCTTGTTTTTTTTTTTTTAAAAAACCCTAATTTATAGTTTTTCAATGTGTTCTACATTTATAGTGTGTGCAGTTGAGAACACCACATAAATACTGTATAATTCTAAAGTATTTGAAATTACCACCCACTAAATTTTAAAAATATAATGACACTATACCTGCACCTTAGTACACAATCCCTAAGTACGAAACAACAT